TTTAACGATACAAATGGTTTAACCACCCAAATGATTTTAAAAGTATACCTAAAGCATTTGCATTACTAGGTGTCCATTCAATCAATCTAATCAATTGGTCCAATCCAGTTTTCATAACTATGGGAATATGAAGAAACATATTACCATTCACTCAAATTAAAAATAGCAAAAATGGTAAAGATCTAACACTTCATGGCTTTGGGGTAAATTGACATGCTTTTTAAGAAGTCTCTGCTGAAATCCATGTTGTCTAGCAAATCAGTGAGGTTTGTAAGACTTGTTGGTAAACATGCGATCTTGCCAAATCTCCATATAACCTACTCTAATACTCACCATGAAATCCAAAGTGTCATCTTCTCACTACCAATCATTAATTCAAGGCCCAAGGTGGCTCTATAAAGGCATTAGAGTTGAGTTAAAAATCGTCTAAGAATAGATCGCCTTTGGCTTCTAAAGCTAATATGCATTTAAAACCTCATGAAACTTCTAAACCAAAGGAAAGGAAGATTCATCTATGGTTCTAAAAGTTTTGCGAGGAAAATGCAAACTGATCTAGGTATATAAATAATGTCTAGGAAATATAAGGCTCTCAATTGCATGCAGTAATGAACTTTCAAGCACTTTTGTTAGTTACTGAAGTCCATGATAAATGCAAGTTAAGACAAGGGAACAAGGTTGTAGGTAACTCTAGTAGCCATTTGTGGTGCAGCTTTAAATATTTCAACCCTAACAAATTTTTCTTCATTTGGAAAAACAAATTTACCAAGCAAAACATAAAAGATAGGTAGCAGTTAAAAGTTTTTCTTCATCATTTATCTCTAAAGGAGCATCTAACTTGCTAAGTTGATAGCATCGTTTTGGTAGATTGTCTTATTTCTTCTCAAATCTTTATATCCACTTCAATGGGCAATCAACTTTAAGGGCTAAAATAAGATTTCCATTGCTGTTATACCTTACCTTTGACATATTTGGATATTGTCTACTATTGAGTGGATTTACATATAGTGGATTGCATTCATGGTCAAAATTCTTGCTTCGGGCAATTGTGGCAAAAGCCTTGAACAAAAGCAAGCAGTAAGGCGATACTAATTGTTTCTCATTTCTTTCAAATTCAAGCACATGGATTGCAACACCTCAAACTAAAGATTGTTTCTCATTTCTTTCAAATTCATTGTAATTTGTATTTATTATTTGGCAAATCAATATATATATATATATATATTATTTGATGTTGCAGATTTTGTGACTCTTGTAGTGTCGACTCCACATCAATTAAGGTGGATCCTATATTTGTGGCCCAATGGACCTAATTCTAATTTTGCTTGAGCTTAATAAAGACATCAAACATTTAAGTGGAGGAGATTTTAATGTTCTAAATCCTACATCGAAAGAGAATTATAAGTGAATCTAATATATAAGTGTGGAAACCAACAAATACTAATAACTTGAGCTTAAGCTTTTGAAGGTTCATGGATCTTTACCCAAAAAATTGTTAGGCCAGTGGCACACTTTAGCTTGCATCATTTCAATCATCTCCAATTACACTCCCTAACAAAGATAAAGACACAGTAGTAGAGTGTTAGGTATGATAGTTAATATGCCTAAACATCAATTACAACTTTCTACAGGTCTAGATAACAAAAATTTTGTTTGTGTGACAAGGATTTAAGGGATTTTAAGTGCTTTTGCCTCATTTAGTGGTAGTGAAATAACTGGATATTGCTGTGATAAATTAGGATGGGTGGTAATTCAATTCTTTGCCTTGAGCGATAGCATAAAAGGGGTTTTAATGTAGTTATTGGTTGTTCTAATTATACTTAAAGGGATTTTAATGGAAGCGAAAATGTAATTGCATATCCTTTCAATTTTCTTCATTTCTCATGCCCTCAGTCATAGTCCTTTAACTTTACATTGGATAGTTTGCATCGAAGTCAACTCAAACGATCTTTTCTATACACTTGTTTTGTTAGATTCCACCTTCGCTAATTGAGGTTTTTTTTAATTGAGTCAAAGAGAGTAATAAGAAAGGAAAAGAAGCACAGCAAAAATTTAAAACATAATTGAAATAAATGAATGGTCAATGCTGAATTCAAGACACCTCAAAAAGGTTGAGGCCGAACAAAATGTTTAACTAATAAACTCAAGTGGGCTACAGCTTACCGGTCACATGATAGGGCCCAATATCCCAAATTACAAACAACATAAAGCTAGCCCAAAACGAATTATGCCCCTCTTCCTGACAGTCATCGGATTTCTCTGAGAGCTTCACCAGATGCTGTAATGGCGGATTCTGTTTCTCTAAGCTGATTAACTTAGTGAAAATTTGCGAATCCATCAATGGCTCTGCTTCAAAGATTCATCTTTTTACTTCTTTTCATGATGACATATCAACTCTTGCCCTGCACCGGATCCATCCTTGAAGAAGAATTCACTGAGGAACTGCTGCTGAAGCCATTGCCCGATCGGAAAGTGCTGGCGCATTTCCATTTTCAGACTAAGGCTCCTCCTTCAAGTTCTAATGGCCGCCACCACCACCTCTTCCCCAAAGCCATTTCTCAGCTGGTATGTTCAGATTTTTCGTGTTCTTTCTTTTTTTTTTCCTTTTTTTTGTTTGTAGAAGATCTGATAATTCGCCTTTGCTTAGTCAATGGGTAGTCTTTTCTTTTGCATAGTTTATATTGATTTCTCAAGTTTCTAATTCTGTTATTCAGCTTTAGATTGATATAGAAGTTCATGTTGAGGTTATTAAGGTTAGATCGGTTAGGAATTAGGGCTATCTAGTTGTTAACTCAGGTTGATTCAATCAAATTATGAGCTACGTTGGTCTTTAAAAATTAAAATTGGATTTGGCCAAATTAGCCAACTTTCAAGATTCAGCCAAGAAGTGGATGGATTGGGGATTCTGTTGTTAAGTTCAGGTTTGCTGTTTAATCATGAACTCTGGTTCACTCTGGCTTGGCCTGAGTAAAGTGGGGTCATTATTAATGCCTTCTTGTTTAATTTGATTTCGAGACAGTGTTGTGAGAAGTGAGAACCTTCTTTGTCTATGGGAACTGTTGTATACATTAACCTTGTTGAATTCATCATTTTCAAAATTGATAAGCAAAAACAAAAATATTAGATCTGATAGTCTTTCAAACTATCCAAATTTCCATGTCTTACATGAAATTTTGAAGGGAGCAATCAGTCCACCAAGAAAAGCAATGTTAGGTGTTCAAATATTTGTCTGATCATATATGTTTAAATGTTTGAAAATAGTGGGTTACTTAAGTGTTTCTTTGACTGTTTGACAGGTTCAGAAATTTCAAGTTAAGGAAATGGAATTATCTTTCACACAAGGCCGCTGGAGCTATGAACGCTGGGGTGGATTTGATCCCATGCCAAGCAACAATGCAAAGCCCCCTGGAGTTGAGTTATGGGCTGTTTTTGATGTCCCTCAGAATCAGATTGATGCTTCCTGGAAGAATTTGACACACACTCTTTCAGGTCTTTTCTGTGCTTCAATCAACTTCCTAGAGTCTTCAACAACTTATTCTGCTCCTGAATGGGGCTTTCCACCAGCTTCAAGGAACCTGAGGTATGGAACATTACCCCGTGAGGCTGTTTGCACTGAGAACCTGACGCCGTGGTTAAAGCTGCTTCCCTGTCGAGACAAATCTGGGCTCTCTGCCTTACTGGATAGACCATCTATTTACAGAGGGTTTTATCATTCTCAACGACTGCGTTTGATCTCAACTGGACCTGGTTTGGGTGGGATGGCAGGAATTATACTAGAACAGACACTAACAGTTGTTCTTCAGCCTAACGGTCGAAGGACTATTGTGGCACATTCTGGTGAAGCACCTGTACAACCTAGCTGGTCTATGAGTTCAATTTTTGGGAGAAAAGTCAATGGAAGATGTGTTCTTGCCAAGTCTAGTAATGTCTACCTTCAGTTTGACAGGGGCCTAGCCAAAGAACTGAAGAATCACCAAAATGAAAACAAGGACTCTGGGACTAATAATCTAGCCTCTGAAGATTTTTGGAATAATCCTGGCTTTGAATTGTCTGTTAAGCCGGACGGGGTATTTGAAGAAATAAATGGTTTGCATAGTGAGAGTTCATCAGTTCTGTACAAGTTCTCAATGGAGAAATACAGTGAATCTGAGCCTTGTGATCTAAGTTTTAAATGGAAGATTCCTGTAGTTTGGTCTTGCAAACAGGCACCACTGCATGCTACTAGGTTTTTGATGGGAAGTGGGAATGAAAGGGGGGCAATTGCTATTTCCTTGAAGTCTACAGAATTGACTGAGGGCTTCCTGGGTGCTAATTCTGTTGATGATGGGTGTAAGGTGCAAGTTAATATTTTCCAAGTAGTTCCTTGGTATGTTAAGGTCTATTTCCATTCTTTACGAGTATCTGTTGATCAACAACTGAAGGCACCTGCAGACGTTATAGAGAAGATACATGTTTCACCTTCAAAAGACAAGGTATCACCTGGAGTGATGGAGATGATATTGAAGCTTCCTTGCACTGTAAAATCTGCTTCTTTAAGCATAGATTTTGATAAGGTATGAAATACATTTGATTCACCATGATTCTTTGAAAGCTAATTTGTTTACTTAATGCCAATATCAATATGAATGTAACACAGCTAGTTGGCCTAATAGAGTTTATAGACTTGGGATGTTATTCTAAAGCTGGCACACATAGGAAAGCTCTTTGAGAAACTAAAGTCATGATTGGTCATATTGCATGGAGAACCTATTACTTTGAACATGCATAATAGCGATTTTACAATGTATATTATCAGACTTGAAATTTGAAAGTAGTTGCTCATGAATTTTGAATAAAAATCAAGGAAGCCCCTTTTGATATGTGACCTGTCAATCTCACCTGACAATTCACCATATGCTCTGAGGCCCATGCATTGAAACCTGCCATACACTTTGAATAATATAATTTTTGCTTGTATTTAGCACTGATAAATTGCAATTAATGACTGCCATCACCCTTCAGTCTGAATAATCTTTCTCTTTATTATGTTGCAACTTGGCATTTGTGATTGAGAACTAACTATTTTCCTAGGATATCCTCTGCTTTTCAGTAATCACCACAATGATGAAATTAATTTTCATTTCAATAATTTACATTTTTGTGTTATATTTCTCATCTGGAGAGTGAAATATCCTATCAATTGGTTTATTATGAGCATTGTTAATTAACTGATCTGCTATTTTAAAATGTCTCATTAGGGTTTTCTGCATATCGATGAGTATCCTCCAGATGCTAATCAAGGATTTGACATACCATCAGCTGTTATAAGCTTTCCCAAATTCCATGCAAGCTTGATTTTCCCCAAGGATGATTCTTTGAATGAGTCACCAATGTTGTCAAAGTTTCAGGTTTTATTTCAATACTCGTTGATTTCAGCAGTTCTAAATAATTTTTGTTCCGTTGATCTGATCTGTTGTCTGGGTTTCTCATGCAGCAAAAGAATCCTGTAATGTCTTACACAGAAGTATTACTTGTACCCTTGACAACTCCTGATTTTAGTATGCCTTACAATGTTATAACAATTACATGCACAGTCTTTGCGTTATATTTTGGATCATTGCTTAATGTACTGCGGCGAAGGGTTGCCGAGGAGGAAAGACTTCTTAAAAGCAAAGGTAAATTTATCCATTGAAGTAGGTTATTTCTATTCTCTGTTAGATAAAAGTTAGATTGAAGTTTCTTATGTAACTCTTAGCTACCATATTATATTGTTTTAAACAATTGCATTAATCATAATAATCATAAAGTTGTCATCACTACAGTGAATTAGAGTGTTTCAGTTTGCTAAGTCAAATACAATCTTTGGGAATAACTGCATGCAGTGATGTAAATGTTAGTTCTTGTCTGCGTTTTTACATGAATGGACTTATCACCAGAGATGTTCTAGTGTATGTGTAATCATACTAAACATTTTGTGTTATCCTTATAATCAATCCTTTTTCTTTTAAGACATGCTTGGGAACTTTTGTGGTTTGTAGTCAGAAAGTATCAGTGTTTTAATCCCTGTGATGATATTGAATTATGCATCTCATGTGCTGTAGTACTTGTCAGCTTTCTTAAAACGAGAAATGAGGGAGGTAACCATTCGTTGCACTGAGTTTTTTTAAATTGCTGAAAGATATTTTATGAAAGAGTACATGGGACAACATAACCAGCCATGGCCTGCAAAAAGCATGGATGACTGTGATCAAAGCTCATCGTACTTCTATTCTATAAAACCAAACATGTGTCCTTCCTGTGTGTGTACTTTGGACATCTTATTTTTATCTTTGCTTGTCTTTATCTTTCTTGCTGCTAACACTCATATTTTTGACAATTTTCTGCTTGCAGCTGCCACGAAAACCAATCGGCTTTCTCTCCTTCTATCTAAATTGTCTGCAAAGCTTAGAGGCAAACCATGGGAACCACCCAGTTCTCCCCAACCTACATCATCCTTTATTAGTTCAAAATTAGTACTCAGAGTAATATTAGTGGCTGGAATTGCCATGGTTTGGCAATACTACTTTTCATGAACTCTTAGGTTGTGTTTGGATAGGGGATTTATAATTTCAGAGAATTTCAAAATGCAGTAATTTAAACCTTTGTTGAGTGCTGTAGCATGAAATTTTGTAAAATGGTCATTGGGTAATTTTCAAAATTGGTAAATTTTATTGCGAGTCTATATGCAGAAGTTCATTTTTAAGAGCTTCAAAATCTAGAACTTTATGTTTCTACTTGGAATGAAAAAACTCATTGAACAGGAAAACATAACCTATATGCATGCAAGGCATGCCGAGAACTTCCATTGCTTGGGACCGCTGATCCAAGCAAACCATAGTCAAAGCAGAAGAACAATGTCTGGTTTCAATTTTTACAACTTAGATTCTTTGCTAGACGGAGTTGGCTTGGTGCTACTTTCTTCTATTGATTCCTGAAGAATCATAGTCACTGCCCCCAACTCATTTTGAGATATAAAATTTCTTCTGATAAATAATAGGATGGATGCAATCCTATAGTTCTTAACCTGCTCATAATCATGCGTCAGATGTTTATGGAAAAACTCTTGCACAAAGGACTGCGAGATTCTGACTCGAAGCAGCAGGTCATTTAATAACTCAGAAATCTGGGAAGGAAAACTCATGATGCAGGAAACATCGGCTGCCACTTTGAGGAATTGAATGAAAAACCATCTCTCCTTTCTAGTCTTTAAGATAGTCGATGATAAAGAATTTTACGCCAACGGGATCGTCAGTCAGCAGCTGTTTCATTGGGATGGGATTCCGATGCCAGTCCTGGTATATTGTGAGCTCAAATGGAGGTCGAGTCTGTGCCATGATAGCAGGAGAAGGAAGTAGGCTCTGGCACAAAGGATTAAAGCTTGGATGGTGTACCGTGTACGTATATATTTCTAATTAATCACCAAATCCTGTTCTGAGAGGAGGTGTTGCGGTGCCGGTTTAGCAGACCCTAGAAAGACAAGGCAGTTTGAAATTGTTCAAACCATATCAACATTATATAAATAAATTTAGTTATTTTTAGTGGCAAAAGGATAGGTTCGGCCGTTCTACTGGTAACATTATAGTTATAATTTCACATAAAATTGTAAATTTACAATAAAAAAAATTCATCCTTAAGAAGATTTTTGCCTAAATCAACCATGATTTATGCACAATCTTATTTAACAAATATGATGTTAAAGTATAAAAAAAAAAAAAAAGAAGAAGAACCCCTCCCCCCACTCATTAAAGTTAGAAGTTAGAACAATCCTTATATTCCAACCAATGTCGTTTTCTTGATTCCATTCAATCTCCTTTCATTCTTGAAGGGTATGAAAATTTAAGGAAGAGTTAGCAATAAGCCACAAAAAGCATAAATGAAACAGAATGTATGTAGATCATATTTTGACTTCCAACCATGAATTACTCATAACACAATTGTTCTGTTTACATCTACTCGATTTACAAATATCCCAATGCTCAAATAGTTTCTTCTTGTTGACTCCGAGTCAGTCAACAATCAGAGCACATGCCTGTGAAAATTTATATGCAAAAGCAAACCGATGTATCATTTGATCCTCTTGCAAGATGCTGCTAGCAAGACTTCATCTTCTCTTGGTCGCTTCAAATTGGCACTTGTGTAACTGCATTTCGGATGCTAGAAATACTCGCTGAGTTTTCGTTTCCTCTTCTGCTTATATCTGTCACATAAGTCCATAGGTTCAATATCTGTTTACACCCATTTTTACAAAACAAAAAAAATAAAATGATGCCATGTGTAATTCATGTTGGCAGGTATTTCATTGGTTAAAAGTTGTTGGTGTAAATCTCTCTAAATAAGGTTTAGTGGTTATTTCTACAACGACAGTAAAGTTGTTCGTTTGTTGCGACTTCTAGGAGGATAATCGACAACATCAACAGAATAATCGGTTTATTTCAGATTTCATACTGCCATTGATTTTGAAGATGCTGCCACAAATTTCCAAACATACTGCCTTGGGGTCTTTACTGCTATAAATATGCAAAGAAAAAACAAAGTGAAGGATAAGCCTTTCACACAACTAGCCCAGCGCTATTTACATTTTAGTTTTACAAGTAATGTTTTAATTTAAATCCAACTTTCTTAAACAGCTTTACTAGTTAAGTATTTAGCTTTACACTATCATTAGTTTTAACTCTAGTTTTTGTTATTTCGTTGTGAATATCTCCACTTGATGTATTTAATTTTTTACAATTCAATTTACTGTATTTTGTCCTAAATTCATATTTTTAGTTTCTTTTAAGTTTTCATGCTTTCGCGATGACATCACGCTTCCTTTCTACAATTTAGTTTTCCTACCATGCACTCTCTTTTTCTTTTTTCTTTTTTCCTTTATTTTTCTCTTTTATTTCGATAAACAAACTAACATTTTGGCCCTA